AGTAATTGCACAGTATCTTCGTAAAAATGTACCAAAAGAAAGAAAAAATAAAGTCGTTTTAGTTTAGAATATCCCGTTAAAATGAAAGATATTGATTTCGGACTTTGTCCATAGCGCGACGGAAACATCGGCGATTAGTAAGAGGGCGGTAGAAACGGAACAGAGGGCAGAGGGGTTTCCAATTAAGGGGTGTAGGTACGACAGGCCTGGAGCGCCACAAGGACATCGTTACAGCACCAAGATCGCCATTATGCGGCGCAAGGACGACCCTAACGATGCGAGCGTTCGTGATTTATGATCCGGCGGAACGCGCCGGATTATGTATCTGCGGGCCAACTTTCCCGGGACACTTTGCGGGACTAGATTAAGAGAATAATGAGACTGGTTTTTGTCGCCGCCCCTTCGACGAGATTAACCCGACGAGGGTGTAATATGCAACCGTTGACGGGTCTTCCATGAAGCCAAGCCTGCTCTCCATATATATTTAATAAATAAATTAAGATCCATCACGGCTATCGTCGAATATTTTTTATATGTTAAGCAAGACTACTGCTTCAACATGTTGATTTATAATAACATTTAAATTCATATAATATTATAATATAATAATATAATATAATATATATTACATATATTATAATATAATAAGGCTATTATAATAGCCTGTTCCCCATATATTTAATAAATAAATTAAGATCCATCACGGCTATCGTCGAATATTTTTTATATATTATGCAAGACTACTGCTTCAACATGTTGATTTATAATAACATTTAAATTCATATAATATTATAATATAATAATATAATATAATATATATTACATATATTATAATATAATAAGGCTATTATAATANAAACAAATGTATAATAAAAATTAAATTCATATACAAATTTATAATAAAAATTAAATTCATATGAATAATCGTGAACAGATACATATGTATATGCGTACACTTTCTAAAGCGGGATAACATTTCTATAATTGGACGAAACAATTACAATTTGTTGAGATGATAGAAGGAATAGTTTACTAAATGACACATAAAAAAATTTTAGCAAAAATTAAAATTGGAACAAGATCACATTTTTCGTTTGCCTGACATTATTTAACCAGCCGAAAACAGCTAACTGGTTAAATAATGTCGAAACGTTACCTAATTACCTGACATTATTTACCCAGCCGAAAATAGTTAATCGATTAAACAATGTCAGTCAAACTAACCAACACTTCGACATAAAACTTTCTACCGTGAACGTAATAGTTTGTATGTGATCGCAGTCCAAGGTCAAAATGTTACCTTCAACCCTGAATTCTCCCCTATCTTCACGCCAGCTGAGAAGCGCTCCACATCCGCTAGTCTTACAGTTGCCTACGGAACTGCGAGTAATCACGTTAACCTTTTAGGTACGGCTGAATTCTACGCGAGGCTATTTCTCTGGACGGCAGAGTCTGATATGTACTATACAGAGTCTGATACTGTATATTCTGTCTATATATACAAGGTGTCCCAAAAATGTCTCGCAATCCGAAAGTGGCGGGTTCCTCGGGCCATTTGAAACAACTTTTTCCTTTACAAAAATGTTCTCCGAGGCACCGTTAACGAGTTATTAACGAAAAACGGTGACCAATGAGAGGCGAGCTCGGCTGACGCGAGGCGATCGAGCCAATGAGCGGAACTGGGCTTCGCGCGCTGGTTGGCTGGGCCGCCTCGTGTCAGCCGTACTCGATTCTTATTGGTCACTGTTTTTCGTTAATAACTCGTTAACGGTGCCTCGGAGAACATTTTTGTAAAGGAAGAA